AATACAAGTCAACTAATCCTGAACACATAACTCTGCAGAACTTAATAAATTGTAAATGTAGCATGAAAGTACCTTTTCTTCCTTTGTGCTTATTGCAAATGCATGTTTTTAAAAGCAAATTTATGGCACTCACTAGAGAAACATTTCTTGATGAATTTGTTGCAGATTTAGACTAAGGTTAAGTGATCTGTAATGTTTCCTAAATTGGAATCTTTTCGAACAATTTAATGTAGCTATAAAATGTTTCTGCAGTGGAGTGAGACTTGACACAGGTGGGCTGTACTATGTGAAGCTGGGAAGAGGAGGATCAGCTGGGGCTCTTGGTTGCCGTAGAGACCCACAATGCATTTATCTGATTTTTCCTATGACTGCTACACTCCTGCTGGCTGTCTGATCTCATCCTGAATACTGCCCTGCTACTTATTCACCCAAATGCCTTACTTTAAGCAAACACAATGTGCTTTAGGAGATTTGTATGAGATTCCCAAAATTGTCCTCCAAAACAGTTGAAAATGTTCTATGAGAAATGTCTCTCTAGATAAATCTCAGAGAATCTTTTTAGAGGATAATTATTTGTAAAGAATTTACCCCTTAATTTAACTGTTTTTGAAAACATGGCATGTTTCCTTATCAAGATTTTCCTAAACTCAGGAAATTCATAATCTCATATAGTTTTAATTTCAGCCTATGGTCAAATAAGGAAAATTTCACAAATTTTGGATTTAATACATCTGAAATACCAAAAAAAAAAACAAAAAAAATCACCGCCATTGAGTCAGATCCGACTTATAGCAACCCCTCCTTGGATTTCCAAGGTGGTATCCTACAAAAATAGATTGCCCAGTCTTCCTTCTGAAATACCAAGTCACTCAAATGGAAGAGCAAGTGAATAGACTGATCAATCTATTTGTAATAAAAGATAAAAAGATGTTTTTACTGTTACAAACACATTGTTGTTGTGTGCTGTGATAGCAAGTTGATTCCAACTCATAGTGAAGCTATGGAAGTAGTAGAAGAGCCTTGTATGGTCTTCTGGAGTGTAATCTTTAAAGAAGCAGATTGCTAGGTCTTTCTCCAGTGCAGCAGCTGGGGGTTTCAAATGGCCAAGCTTTCTGTTAGTAGCTGAGTGCTTAACTATTGGGTCACCACTCTGAAATACATGATCTCTTTATGGACCTGAGGTAAAATTCTGATTCACAATAAAAAAAAGCTAAACTCACTGCCACTGAGTCAATTCCAACTCATAGTGACCCCCATTTGGTTTCCAAGGTGGTAAATCTGTAAAGAAGTAGATTGCTCCATTTTCCTTCTGCCGAACAGCTGATGGGTTTGAACCGCTGACCTTCTGGTTAGCACCCAAATGCTTTATCCACTACGCCACCAGAGCTCCACAAAATTCTGATTAGGGTGGTATAAAAATTGAAACCAACTTGCAAACCATTCAGATAATTTTAGCTCACCAAAACTGGTTAGAGCCCCACTGTCACCCCAAGTGATTCACAGGAAAATCAGAGAAATGTTTTCTTCTCTCAAGCCAACATAAACCATTGCAGGCAATAACTCAATAGATGAGGAGCAATTTGCAAGCTTTGTTTAAAAATTGTATTTTAGAATCACAAAGGGAACGGAAGCTCACGATGAACGGAAGCTCACGATGTGAACAATTCTTCTGTTAGCTCATTTTCTTTTCAAGATAAAGAAAGAGAAAAACATACTCTACTCGCTTTCAAATAGTGTTTTGAATAGTGAGCTCATCAGAGTGGTAGGAGGTTATAATAAGTTGTATAATCTTTATGGAATTAAGAATAAGGTTACTTGACACTTATAAAAGCTGTGTAATTAATATTTCCTAGAGTTAGTTGCTGAAAAAAAAATCATGCAACCTGAAAAATTAAAAAACATTTGAAGAAATGATGAAAAACATAAAAAGTAATGATATAAAATATGCTTTTTTTCATAAATGGGTTAAGATAGTGATGGTGAAGCAACAGAAAAAGAATCAAGCTTCTGCTGGAAAACGAACACTCAAGGATTTCCAAGTATGGACACTGAAAGGAAAACTCTAAGACAGGCTCTTGCAAACCTAAGTTAGACTCTCCAGAGGCTCAGACATAACCACAT